GACCAGAATTCTGAGTCCAACATTCTCTGCTCCATCAGAATCTTTTTCTGGGCTGGGCATGGTGGCTCACACCTGTAATCCTAGCACCTAGGGAGGCCAAGGCAGGCAGATCACCTGAGATTGGGAGTTCAAGACCAGCCTGACCAACATGGAGAAACCTCATCTCTACTAAAAATACAAAAATTAGCCGGGTGTGGTGGCATGTGTCTGTAATCCTAGCTACTCAGGAGGCTGAGGCAGGAGAATCGCTTGAACCCAGGAGGCAGAGGTTGCGGTGAGCCAAGATCGCACCATTGAACTCCAGCCTGGGCAACAAGAGTGAAACTCCACCTCAAAAAAATATTTTTCTGTATTTTAAAGTAGGATTCATGATTATGAGTGACAAAAAACTGAACTCAAGTGATATCAAGCAGGAAAAAAATGGTGGGGTAGAGAGGAGAAATGTATTGGGATGAATGATTGGGCAGTTTAGAGGGGACTGGTTGAATCTTAGACTAAGTGTGTCTCTCTGTCACAGGGCTAGGCCATCCCCATCTTTCTTCCATCCGTGGACAGACTCTTCCCTCCTCAGGAACAGATAGTGGCAGTCACTTCTGCCTGCAGTGCCCAGGACCGAGTCTGGTAGGAGGTAGCATCTATCTCTGCAGCCCTAAAAAAGCCTCCGGGTATGTCACTGGCCACCTGCTCCTCCCTATGCTAATCTCTGTGGCCAGAGGAATGCAGTCCATCCCTTGAGTTAGGCTGTGTCCCCGCCCTAAGTTTTCAGGCTGAGAGTGAAGCCAGGGGGATTTCCTCCCAGGGAAATAGGGGTTCTGTTCCTAAAAGAAGGGTGATGACTATAGAGGGCCCAAAACAGTATGTGCCGTACAGGCATGGTGGCTCACACCTGCAATCCCAGCATGTGGGAAACCAAGGTGGGCAGATTGCTTGAGGCCAGGAATTTGAGACCAACTTGAACAACATAGCGAGATCCCGTCTCTACAACAAATAAAATTGGCTAGGTATGGTGATGCACACCTGTAGTCCCAGGTACTCTGGAGGCTGAGGCTGGAGGTTCACTTGCACCCAGGAGACCGAGGCTGCAGTGAGCTATGATCATGCGAATGTACTCCAACCTGGACAACAGAGTGAGACTCTGTCTCGAACAAAAAACAAATGAAAAGTGAGTGTCTAATACGCCCCAGGCTTGCTGTGTGACCTTGGACAAAGGACTTTGCATCCGCCGTGTCCGGGTCTTCATCACGGATGAGTGTGGAGGAGCTAAAGGTCCCTGAGATCCTGTCTGACCTTGACCTCTGATTGTGTGGGCTCTGGCTGCCCTGTCATCCTCTTCCTGCCACTCTTGTGCCCTTCAATACCATAGCTTGGCCTGATCTCTTGAGAACTCTGTGAACACTGGCTTGTCTGGTCCGCTAGAGCTTTGCACTAGAATGTCAAGTGCTTCTGGGATCACCTCTGTGAGCTCATTCCTCTTATGGACAACATGGCTTCTCAGAGGTAGCCCAGAGTAGATCAGCTCCTCAAACTGCACCCTCTGCCAAGACCGGGTGCTCTCTAGAGCACCTCATCGTGCTTGCCACCACCGGCCTTTCAGGCTGCAGCCTTTGGAGTCTTCTGTGGATCTCCATCTTCCTTAAGTCCCTGAACCTGCTCTGTGATGGAATCTGGACCTTTGTTTCCTCCTCTCAGAGTTCTTGCTTGCTCACATCAATGAAGCCAGATGACATATGGTGACCACCCCATGGGTAGGCCCATGTGGCAAGGAGCTCAGAGTGGCCTCAGGATACATGGCCCACGAGGAACTGACCCCTGCCAGCAGCCACATGCATGAGCCTGGAGAGAGATCCCTCCCCAGCTGAGCCTCAGGGTGAGAGCAGCCCTGGCCAACACCTTGATTGCAGAGGACCAGCTAAGTCATGCCTCAATTCCTGACCCACAGAAACTGAACAAGCTCCAGAAAACCATGATCAGGAAACAGGTAGTGGGCATCCTGACTTTATTCCTTAGCTGCAAGGAAATGAATGTAAGGTTTCACTATTCAGGATGACAGGTTTGGTTTTTATCATCAAATATGTACTGTATTTGTCAGTGCTCTACAGAGAAACAGAACCTACAGAGAATGGGGGGCGGAGAGATAGAGAGAGAGAGAGCAGCGAGAGAGAGACATAAATATATATATGTATTAAGACAGAATTTCACTCTTGTCACCCAGGCTGGAGTGCATGATCTCTGCTCACTGCAACCTCCGCCTCCCAGCTTCAAGCAATTATCCTGCCTCAGCCTCCCGAGTAGCTGGAATTATAGGCACACACCACCACACCTGGCTAATTTTTGTATTTTTAGTAGAGAGGGGTTTCACCATGTTGTCTAGGCTGGTCTCAAACTCCTGACCTCAGGTGATCTGCCTGCTTCGGCCTCCCAAAGTGCTGGGATTACAGGTGTGAGCCACCGCACCCAGCTGAGACATGTATTTTAAGAAATTAGCTCAACATGGTGGAGGCTTGGTGAGTCCAGAGTCTGATGGGGCAGGCTGACATGCTGAAGACCGAGGGAGGAGTTGCAGCTGGGGTCCAATGGCACTCTGCCAACAAAATTCCTTCTTGCTGCTGAGAGGTCTGTTTTTGTTCTATTAAGGTCTTCAACTGATTGGTTGAGGCCCACCCACATGGGCTTCAAAATCCACTCATGTATTTATTATTATTGTTTTAGAGACAGGGTCTCACTTTACTGCCTATGCTGGTCTTGAATGCCTGACATCACACAATCTTCTCGTCTCAGCCTTCCAAAGTGCTGAGATTACTGGCATGAGCCACTGCACTCAGCCCAAAATCCACTAATTTAAATGCTCCCTCCCTTCACAGAAACACCTAGAATACTTTTAAACCAAATCTCTGGGCACTGTAGAGCAGCCAAGTTGACACATAAAATGAACAAGCACAATTGCCCTACATCAGGTTAGGCAGATGCCCTAATTTGTTAAGAGCTGTTTATAACTTCCAAGTTTGTGTTGAATTTTATCAAGCAATTACTTTCATATTATTGTTCTTATTTGTTTATACACTGTTTTTAAAAACCGTAAATTTTCTAATATAAAAGCATTCTTGCATTGTTGAGATAAATCCAACTTGAAGAGAGTATCTTTCAGTTCATCTTGCTTGCCATTCCCCTGGTCACAGCCTGGGGTGAGCAGAGGGTAGAGCCATGTCCTGGGACTGGTGACAGACAGCCGGCCCTGGGAGGGGCCCATAGGCTGCAAGAAGAGCATTGTGCAATTTACATGGATGCCTTTGGGTGGGGGCCTGACAGCTGCTGGAGTCATGGTCCTTACCCAGATCAAGGTGGGGCTGACAGGGCCTCCTGGTGCTCAGGTAGTCAGGGGCCAGGGTGAAAGCAGCTAGTGGGGTCGGCTGTATGAGACAGATAAACGCTCACACTCACATGCCAGGTGTGGCTTTGAGCCTCAGCCCAGCCCACTCTCCTCAGCTGTCTGGCTGGCTTTATAGAAAGTTCCCTAAATGGAAAGGGTCTTTTTTCCTACCATGCCTGCTCATTCTCCAGAGAACCAGTGCCTGCAGCTGGCCATACTCTGAGGCTGGAGGCACAGTCCTCCAGACCACCACATCTTCTGGGATGTCTGACCTCCTCTGCAGCAGAGGTTACCAAACTGTCCAGTCCAAGGGAACAGTCCCCACAAGAATGCCCCAACATCAGCCACCAGCTGCAAGTTCACAGTCCCCAGGACCACCTCCACTTCAGACCAGCTGGCTGCAAATGTGGGGTGCTCACAACCACACTCAGCTCCAGTAATTTTCTAGGGTGACTCAGAACTCAGGAAAGAACTAAACTTGTGATTACAGTTTTATGATCATGAAAAGATACAAATTAAAATCAGCCAAAGGAAGAGACGCTTAGGGTAGAATCCGGGAAGGGTCCAGTTGGGAGCTTCCAGGGAGGCGTCCTCTCCCTCTGGGGCTCTGGGCAGCCATGCCTCCTCTGGGCCACAATGTGTGCGGATATGCACAGGGCACTGCCCACCAGGAAAGTCTACCTGAGCCTTTTCTGTCCAGAGACTTTCCTGAGGCTTGATCAGACTCTGCCTTTAGTCTCCAAAGCCCCCCAAACAAACAAAGACACTCTTGTCAGACAAGACATTCCAGGACCCAGAGGTCACCTCCCTCTAGCCAAGGGCAGAGGCTAGACTTCTCTTTGGGTGAGGTTAATTCTCAACTATGAATAGGGCGTGTTACAAAGTCAGTGCCCAAAAATGCAGAGTGATGTGGCAGTCAGAAGCTCCAGTCCTGGCTTTGCCACCTTTGAGTTTAGCAAGTTACTTACTCCCTGTGGACACCTACCAGCCAGAGGCCAGCAGGAACAGTCTGGTAGCCAAATAAATTTGAGTTAATTGGTACCCATTGCACTAAGAAGACTGCACACTAGGGGGCAGCGCAGAGTCTCTATGTGTGCGTCGGGGGTGCTTATTGAAGGATTTGGGCATTTGTAGGGTGATTTTAGGAAATGTTCAAGGGAGCAAAGTGTTGCTCTGCATTGGGTACTGTCGAGGAATGGGGCGTGTCTATAACTGGGGATCTTCACAATTTTTATCCAGGAGGTGGAGGAACAGGGGAGGGCTGAAAAACCTGGGAGAGAAACAGCAGTCTCTCACGTGAAACAGGAGAGGGCACTGTTTGGCCATTTCTATGGGCACTTTTTGGCCATTTTTATGGTTTCACGGTGACATCGTTTTTGTCCATGCTCAGGCATAGTTACGGAGTGGCCTTAATTCTGTCCTGCTGCGTCACGGGTGCACGGTGACCCTGCCTGACATGGATGCTCTGTGAAGTTGGTGTGCATCAGGCAGACACCAGGGCCCAGCAATCGAGTCACGGGATGCTTTGTTCTTTTCCCACACCTGAGTTTCATCGTTGATAACACAGAAAGTAATTCTCCCTAACACATTAGGCAGCTATGAGAATTAAGGGGAATAATGTAAAATGCCCAGCATAAAATAAAACACAACAGCCAGTCAAAAAAGTTAAAAAACAGCCAGTTAAAAAGTGTGTTTAAAAACTGTGATAAAATGGAAAAAAGTGAAGACTTAAAATAAAGCCAAATGCAGAAGAGGCACAGGGAAAGAAGCTGAGAGAGGACATCAGGTGAGGGCAGTCCCTGAGCCAAGGTCTGTCCCGAAGCTCCCACTGTGACCTCCATCTGGGGCCAGGTGTGTGTGTGTCTGTGTGTGTACCCTTGCATGAGGGAGGTAAGAAATATGCCAGCAGCTGACCATGCTGGCTCACGCCTGAAATCCCAACATTTTGAGAGGCTGAGGCATGAGGATTGCTTGAGTTCAGGAGCTCAAGACTAGCCTGGGCAACAGAGTGAGACCTCATCTGTACAATTTTTTCTTTTTAATTTAGCCAAGAATGGTGTTGCATGCCTTGTATCCCAGCTACTTGGGAGGCTGAAGTAGAATGAAGTAGAAGGATCACTTGAGCCCAGGAAGTTGAGGATGCAATGAGCCACGATTGCACCATTGCACTCAGTCCGGGTGACAGAGTGTGATGAGATCCTGTCTCAAAAAAAAAAAAAAAGAAAAGAAAATGTGCCAGCAATACACAAAAAGGTTTATATACCATAATGAAATGGAATCTGCCCCAGGAATGCAAAGTTGGTTTAATATCCAAAAACCAATGAATGCAATATAGTACGTTAATAAAATAGAGGACAAAACCACACAATAATAGACACAGAAAAATCACTTGACAAAACCTAACACCCTTTCATAAAAACACTCAATAAACTAGAAATGGAAGAGAACTTTCTCGCCAGATAAAGGATGTCTGAGAAAAACCCACAGTTAGAATCACACTAAATGGTGAGAGACATACACTTTCCTCTCAGTGCCAGGAATAAGACAAAATATCTGCTCTTGAAACAAGTATTCACCATTGCACTGGAGGTTCTAGTCAGGGCAACTGGGAAAGAAAAATAAATAAAAGGTATTCAGATCAGAATGGAAGAATTAAAACCATCCCTATTTAAAGATGGCATGATCCATCTATAGAAAATTCTAAAAAATCCACAAAAGTATTAGAGCCAGTGAACAACTTCAGCAAGATTTCAGAATACAAAATCAATATTTAAAAATCTATTGTATTTCTATAAAATAGCAATACATAATCTAAAATAAAATTAAAATAACTCTACTTATCAAAAAGAATAAAATATTTAGGAATAAATTTAAATAAGTACAAGACTTGCATACTGAAAGCAGGAGGAGAAAGAGAAGGAAAAGGAGAGGAGGAGGAGGAGGAGAAGTAGGAGAAGGAGGATGAGGAGGCAATGTGTTCAGGATGTCCTGTGATTCCTGAGGCCTGAAGCCACCTGTCAGGTCAGGCATCCCCTGTCCTCCCTGTCCCTACTCCTGATCTGCTATCTCCAGCTTGCACCTCAAATCTATTCTGTTCAGGCATGGAAGTAATAGTGGTGTGAAAGTCAGTCTGGGTATACCCGTTGTTCTACACACTGGCCTGGCGAAGTTATTTTCGGCTCCTTCTAAGCCAGCCATGAACGTGAGGAAGAACTCTGCGTGGGGTGCAGTTCCCTCTGGGCAGTGAGACCAGCTGCAGAGGCCACCCAGGCCTGGGAGAGCCCACAGCTCCAGCCAGGAAGGGCTGTGGCTGAGGCCAGCTGCAGATCTCAGCCTGCAGACCCTGGAGGGTTAGAGTGTGGCCCTGAGGGTCCTGGGGCCTCTGAGCAGCCTCAGGTCTGTGCCCCTGAAGGCTTTGCCTCTCGGGCCCGGTGCTTCAGCGCAGTCCTCAGGGCCTGCAGGATGGCACCGTGGCTGGTCCGCACATTGTAGTGGCTGAGCTGCAGGAGGCGCTCGAAGTCTTCCTCCTTGTAGGTCATGTTGAACAGGGCGTAGGGGGAGGTGGCCCCGGTGAGATCTACTTGGCCAGCCTGGAGCTCAGTGGGACTGCGCTGGACACCTACCCAAGGGTGGGAGGGGTGTCAGAAACAGGTTGCCAGGGCCTCCACAGCCCGGCAGCGGCTCACTGGGAGGGCTGCCCCCACCGGAGGGTCCCCTGCTTTCCTCCCAGCTCTCTGCGTCCTTTCCCCAGGAATACAAGCGTGGGGCAGGGTACTCTTTGGATGGGTACTATCTGGTGGTAGAAAATACAATTTCGTGCTTGGTTTCCTTGCGCCTGACACTCCCAATGCTATTCAGGCAGCCCCATGTCTCTACATTGCTTGGGGGTAAGGTGGAAACAGCCAGAAAGGGGACGTCAACCGGGTTTGTGAATGGATTCTTAGAGCTCATGCTGGAAGCAGGCGGGCAGAGAGAATTTGTTGAGATGAAAGTTCTTTAGAATTCTCAGATGTGGCTGAGCATGTTCAGAGGACAGTTGGGAGATCTGGAATTATGGTGCAAAGCAGAAAGCTGGGAATATCGCGCGAAGGCAGCAATGAGTTTTTCCCACCGAAAGGAAATAAAATTTTGACCAGTTGGTGAGAAGAGAGGATAGGAAGGAATGCGATAGGGGTTTCAATTTACGGAGCCCCTGAGGAGAGGCTCAGCTCCCTGAGAAGGTGCCCCAGCCTGGGCTTCGGAAGGATGATGGAGAGGCCAACTGAGTCCCCCACAGAGCAGAACAGCAGAGGAGGCGGGACCGAGGGGGTCCCAGGGCAGGAGGGAGGCCACAGGAGGCCGGTGTCATGACAGAGGGGACCCCTGCCCAGTGACCCTGCAAACAGAGGGCCTGCAGGGACATGGGCATCAGCGAGGAGGCTAGGGTGGGTTCCACAGCCTGGGTGGGTCTAGCCTGAAGCCTTCTCCTGGCAGACTTGCTTCCCTTCCCTCTGCTGGGCAGAGGGGGTCCAGGGCAGGCGTCTGAGGGGCCAGGCAGCCTGGCTGTTCGGGAGGGGCTGCCTCACCAGGGGCTGAGTGGTCCTTGAAGGAGGCATTGACCAGTGGGAAGTGCAGCAGGATGGGGGCCTCTGGGCAGGCAGGGTCTGAGAACAGGTGGCACTCCCTTGGCTGGTGTTGGTCCTGAGGGCTGGGTTCCACCTGGGGGAAGGGCAGTCCCCGGGCCCGGCAGTACAGCTCCGTCTGCTGCAGTGCCTGGTGGGGAGAAGGTAGCTTGGAGAGAGCCAGGCCGGCCCAGGTCAGTGCTGGGACAGTTCCAGCCCACACCAGCTGCCTCAGTGTCAGGACAACAGCCTGGCTCTGTCCTGTCTGTGGCTGGGCCAAGCTGCAGAGTGACTCGGAGGGAGACCCAGGGGAGTCCAAGGACCCCAGTGGTCTGCAATGTTGTTTGGTTAAAATCTTCAGGTGGGGTACAAACCTAACGCCAAGCCCCACAAATCCCAACTCTGGATTGCTATTGCTGGATTGTTCAAATCCCAGAGCTAAGAGGGGACCCACATTTGCACACAGTCTGCAAGGGAAGAAGTCTGGGTTGCGGAGGGGGATGGACATGGAGATGCTTAGGGTCTCCTCTCAGCTCTTTCCAGCTATTCTTTGGAGTGGGTGTGGGAATGTCCCTCCCTGTTGAGCTGTCCTGGGACCCATGGCCCCTGCACCACCACAGTCTTTCCCAAGTGGGGACCCTGGCAGAAGCCAGTAGATGAAGGCCTGACACCCTTCCTTCCCTTCAGGACCTGAGTGGTGAAGGGCAGTGGCTCAGTGGTCCTGCTGCTTGCCTCTGGAGCTTGGCCTGGCTGGGCAGAGGGGTTCCCATTGGGTAACCAGGGTACCTCAAAGGGCGCAGATAGGGAGTAGTCGAAGGAGAGGATGAGGTCTAGCCTGCGGCCCGGCCGGAACATGGAGGGGCAGCTGGTGTTGATAAAATAGCAAGCGTCCACCAGGCAGAGCTGAGGCTCCTGGGGGGTCAGCTGGCTGGGTGTGGAGTCAAGCTGGCAGTCTGTCGGGAAACGCAGGATGGTCAGAGGCCGCCACCGTGTCACAGGTCATCCAGGTCCCCTTCTGTCCTCTGGGTCACTCTCTGAATGTGTGTACCACCCCAGCCCTGCTCCAGGACCTTCCAAGGGGATCTTCTCCAGGCCACATCCCAGAAGAGGATGCTTACCTTCTAGGTCTCTTTCTGCCAGTCCCCGCCACCCCACCCAGAGCCCAATCTCACCTCCGCCTGGCCACGGCCCTTACCTGCCCAGGTGGAGAAGTCCCTTTGGTTGCAGTAGTTCTGGTGCAGCTGGAGGCCCTGTAGGAAGTTGGAGCTGCGCTGGTGGAGGGGCCTGCCCGTCAGGAAGCCTTTAAACGCCCTGGCCAGTGCCGTTCCTGGCTGCAGCCATGAGGCCCCCAGCCACGAGGAGGTCCCTGAGGAGGTGGGGGGCTCCTTCTCTGAAGCCAGAGAAATAGACATTGGTCCCTTCTTCCCCTCAGACCTCGCACACTGCAAGCAGAGTCTGAAGGAGCAGCCTCATCCCAGGCCCCTCAGCTCCCACTTCCCACCTAAGCTCCTGGTCTTGTCCTTGATGTGCCGTGTCCAGGCCTCCCCAGAGCTGGTGAGGTCATACCAGGCGTCCAGCAGGTTCAGGGAGAAAATGTTGCTCCAGATGGCTGAGGGAACCCCAAGAGAGGTCAGCCTGAGGTCCCAGCCAGTGGCCCTCTCACAGGTGCTGATGGGAAACGGGGGTGGGAGAGGGCTGCCCCTTTGATGCCCCCCTGTGCCACCCACTCGTACCCCTCATCCTGAGGTTCTGTCCACCTGAGCTACAGGACCCATGTCCATTTAGACGCCTGGCCCGGGGCCGCCCAGGGCCTTCAGAGCCACCACCCTCACCTTCCAGAAAGCAGATCCGGGGCTCAGGGGTCCTCCTCATCAGCCGTCCCATGAAGAACTCGGAGCCGAAGAGCTCAGGAGGGACGAAGGCTCCGTACTTCAGGAACCCGACCTCATAGGGGGAGAACTCAACCCACTCTAATGGGGAGGGAGGGAGAGGCAGGAGTGTGAGGGGAGTGGATGGCAGGAGCCCCAACTCTGGCCAAAGGTACTGCCCCAGCAGGCCTGAGCACCCTGTGCCTGACCCCAACGCAGCAGACGTGGGGAGCATGCACTCCCTCCCAGTCCCTGGTCCACACCCTCAAGCTCTCCCCACTCCCATGCACAGAGAGCTTCCCTGAGCCCTCAGCACCACTGCCCTTCCCATAGGTTGGGCAATCCATGCAGAGTTTCCAGCTTGAATTCTCTGGGGACTCTCAGGGTGCAGAGGGTTTGGGGGCTGGAGCATGCGGGAGGGGGAGTGGGAAGAACTGTACCCTTGAAGTCCAGTGTCTCCAGATTGTTCTCTTTGACATTGAGGCTCAAGTAGAGGGGTAGAGGGTTCTGACCCCGTTCTAGGGCAGCTCTCTGTCCTGACAGCTTCTGATCAATCACCTGGGCCAGAGGGTGTCAGGGCTTAAGTGAGGCTGGGAGCACCCTGGAGGCAGCAGCTCAGGCTAGGGTTGAGGAGGCAGCTCCTCCAGTGGGATCTGGGGGCCATGCATGGGTCAGTTCCCACTCCTGCCCTCGTGTTCTGACCAGCCTGAGACACAGGGTCTCTGGACAGGGCGTGCAGGCTGCATGCTGCTTTTCTCCAGGGAGGGCCATTCTCAGGGACCACAATGCCAGCCGGCTTCCAGGCCCATCTTCATGGGTTTAAGAGTGAGGTGGGTGTGGATACTGACACACAGACACAAAGCACACGCACACATACATGTATTGCTTTCCAGAAAGGGCCCAGCAATGCCCTTTGTGCATATACTGTAAGCTACGCTGGGGGATGGACTGCCCCTCTTCCAGGTTCACCTTAATGCACATCAAGTTTCAGTCCCTTCCGAGTGCTTTCCTGACATCCTTGACTCCCACGTGGTGCCCCGTTGTTTATTTTTACCTTCTGTTCTTAATTTCCTCTTCAATAGCGCTCCAAGCTCTGTCTTTGTTTCATTTTATTTTATTTTGAGTCAGGGTCTCACTCTGTCACCCAGGCTGGAGTGCAGTCATGTGATCTTGGCTCAATGCAACCTCCATGTCCCAGGCCCAACTGATCCTCCCACTTCAGCCTCCTGAGTAGAGTAGCTGGGACTACAAGTTACGCTCGGCTGATTTTTGTATATTTGTAGAGATGGAGTTTTGCCATGTTGCCCAGGGTGGTCTCAAATTCCTGACCTCAAGCAATCCATCCTCCTTGGCCTTCCAAAGTGCTGGGATTATAGGCGTGAGCCGTGGCACCTGGCCTAAACTCTGTCTTTGATAGCAGCGACTGTAGCTTGCCTTTTGGGGGAGCCCCCACAGAGTTCCTGAATTCTAGGGGAACAGAAAGACCTCATTCTATGCTGAACTAGAGTTGCAAATAGAGCTCTTCCCAAGCACCAGCAAAGCTAATGGTGCCTGCCTGCAGTGCCACCTTGGGAAGGATTCTGTCGCCACAGCTGAGGTTGACGCTGTCAGCCCTAGGCTGTTCCTACTGGGCAGTACATGTACCATGAATACATTATCCCACCTAGAAGGGGGTCTAGTCTTAAAGGCTTCCAACCTGCTACAGCAGCCCTTATCATCAGATTGACTCAGGGAATGTGTATATGTGAGAGCATGTGAAGCATGTGGGCATCTGGATCTCCACTGAGAATCAGCCTGTTGGAAGTCACTTTGAAATTTGCCTTTTAAAAACCCTCAGATGATCCTGATGCCCAACCAGGTGTGAGGATTCCTGCCCAGCCTATCCAAGGGGGATGCCTTTCCCACATCCATGGCAAAAACCCAACACACCCAGTGTGTATGTCCTCCTCACTGGCAGCTCTTCTGTCCTGGATGAGAACACTGCCGTGTCCACCACAGTCATCTTTCCACCCCGTTCTTCAATGGTCCCCAGTACGAGTTACAGATATTTCACAGGAAATCTCTAAATAGGGCCTGATCCCCCACCACTGATGGTGGTGGTGTATGTACAAGTCAGTCCTCAGGTACAAATGTGTATACGTGATCCCTTCTCAAAGTCTTTTTATTTAGAAACCCTGTTTGTTGCTCTTTTGATGCATATGATGAGGCAAAATGTGTCCTTTTACTACAGTTGTACAATTTATGCCCTAGGGAAAGCTCTGGAAAAAGGTCAGCACACCCCTCTATCTGCTGAAACAGCGCCCAGTGTGTCTCATGGCTCATCAGTAAGCTGCGGCAGGACTCTCAGTCTCTAACCCCCCGGTTTCCAAGAGAGTAACCTCAACCCTGCAAAACACCATTCTGATGATTTGAGGGTCCCACGGGAAGCACTGGAGCTTGGTGCAGTACTGGTAATGCAGACTAAAGGGTGTGCAAAACCTTTTGTTCAGAGTTGAAGGAAAGTGTGCCAGCTCTTAACTCAGGAAAGCATAAGAGAAACACTCTGAGTTTCTCTTTGAGGAATGATAGCAGCTTTTAAGCAGTTTGGTACTTGCCAGCAAAAGACTGATGAAAAAATTTCAAAGAGATGAGAATTTGAGAAGCACTGATTACAGCTGGTGTATTTGATGAGTGGATTTCTATAAAAACCTAATCAATATTAGAGGTGTATGTAGACTAATAGAGTCATTCTGAGCAAAGTTTCGGGGTATAATAATTCTTAATATTAATGAAATTGTGCTACAGAGTTATTTTTCTGATGTTGTAAAGTGACTTTTGGTACTTTATTATATCATAGAGGTAATAAATACCTGTTTTTATCTAAGGCTTTAAAAAATTAGAAATCAACATTAAAATCACCTGAATAAAACATTATTTTATAAAGTCTACAATGAATGTTAGCTTTAAGAGGAAAGGTTTGATAACCAAGAAGAAAAGAAATAATAAATTGAAAACCTTTCATATTGGGAAATAATTTTAAAAATAGCATAAGTGATTTCTTTTTTTGACAGGGTCTCACTCTAACGCCCAGGCAGTGGCATGATTACAGCTCATTGCAGCCTCGACCTCCCATGCTCATGTGATCCTCCCACCTTAGCCTCCCGAGTAGCTGGGACTACAGGTGTGCACCACCACACGCAGCTATTTCTTTTTGTAGAGATGGGGGTCTCCCTATGTTGTCCAAGTTCATTTTTAAGAATATATAGACGTTCCATATTATCACAAGCATTCCCATTTTTGGGAACAATTAAAAAATTGTCTTCTAAAAAAACGCCTATAAAGCTTACACATAAAGCCATGCATTCAGTCACTACTGGAGGGTCCAATGGTAATGAATAAAAGTCTACTTTATAGCCTAGGATCAAACTGCATTTTCTATACCTTGTAAAGTGAACTGTTAAAAAAAGCTCCTCCCATTCTATAGTAATTAATCGCTGCCGCCAGGCAGGAAAGCCAATTATTAAAACACAACATCTTCAAAGTTGAATATGAACTTAAACAGTAGATCCAAAGAATACACAGGACATAGTAATAAAATGAAAATGTTTCCACTAATTATGTTGGCTTTATAAATTCAATGCCACTTCAATAAAAATCCCAACAACATTTATCAGAAAGCATGACTAGGTGATTTTATCATATAATTAGAACAGCAGGCTGGGCGTAGTGGCTCACACATGTAATCCCAGCACTTTGGGAGGCTGAGGCAGACAGATCACTCGAGGCCAAGAGTTCAAGTCCAGCCTGGCCAATATGGTGAAACAGTCTCTACTAAAAATACAAAAATTAGCTGGGTGTGGTGGTTCACACCTGTAGTCCCAGCTACATGGAAGGCTGAGGCACAGGAATGGCTTGAACCCCAGGCAGAGGTTGCAGTGAGCCAAGATTGTGCCACTCCACTCTAGCCTGGGTGACACAGAGAGAGAGAGAAGGAAGAGGAGGAGGAAGAGGAGGAGGAGGAGGAGGAGGAAGAGGAGAAGGGGAGAATGGGAAGGGGAAGGGAAGAGAGAAAGAAACAGCAAAGGGTCAAGTACTGCCAAGAGAATTCTGAAGAATTCAAGTGGAGTGGTAACTTAGCCTACCAGATACCAAGATTTATCGCAAAACTTTAGTCCATGTGCTACTGGCATAGGGAAAGATAATCTGCCCTGTTGGAACAGAAGAGGGCACTCAGGAAGAGTCCCAGGAATATGAATATATGAAAAATATATGAAACCTGATACATGACAGAATTAGCAATACAGGTCAGTGGAGAAAAAATTCAGTAGATGATACTGGGAAAATTTGTTACTAATGTGAGAAAAAAGAACTGTATCCCTATCCACATGATACCTGGAGATAAATTCTTGGTGTATTGAAGTCCTACTAATAATAAATAAATCTTTTAAAATTTTTATAAGAATGTATAGAAAGATTTTATAACTTTGGGGGAGAGAAAAAGAAGACCTCCCCCAAAACACCATAAAGAAGAATGATAAATTAGATTATATTGAAATTATGAATTAAAACCATTAGAGCTAATGAGGATTCACATCAAGCATATATAAAGAATTCCTATAAAACAATATGAAAAAGACAAATTAAACAGGAACATGGAAAGGGATTTGAATAGGTAATTAATGGAAAAGGAAGCCTAAATGATAAATATACTTGAAAACATGAGCTGTTAACTAAAAATCAAAGAAGTACAAAACTATGATAAATGTTCCTTTCATACCTCATGCTAAACAAAAAATTAAACGTCTGCACAGGACATAGAGAAAAAGCAGCTATTACACACTAGTAGTGGGAGTGTGAATTAATACAACTCCTTTGGAGAATGGTTTGCCAATAGCTAGGAAAGTTGAAGGTGTACAAACCCAGTGGCCCAACAATTCAACTACTGGGTATGTATCTTGAAGACTTAGAGAATCTCTAATGCAGGTATACAAGGAGACTTGCACAAAATTGTTCACAAATAATATCACATTTTTCTTAAGGATACATATATTACAACACTGTGAACTGGAAAACCTAGAGGAAATAGATAAATTTCTGGACACATTCAACCTACCAAGGTTGAACTATGAAGAAACAGAAAAGCTGAACAGACCAATAACAAGCAATGAGATTGGAGCAGTAATAAAATGTTGCCCATCAAAGAAAAGTTAAGGACCTGATGGCTTCACTGCTGAATTCTACCAAACATTTAAAGAACTAATACCAATTCTACTCAAACTATTTCAAAAAATTGAAGAGGAGGGAATACTTCCAAAGTCATTATCCAAGGTCAGAACTACACTGATACCAAAGCCAGATAAGGACACGAACAAAAAAGAAAGCTACAGGCCAAGATCCTTGATGAACACAGATACAACAATTCTCAACAAAATACTATCATACTAACTTCAGCAACACATCAAAAAGATTATTCACCATTGAGCACATGGAATTCATCCCAGGAATGCAAGGATGGTTCAACATAAACAAATCAATAAATGTGATACATCACATCAACAGATATAGTTGGGATCAGTGCCCTGGTTACACAATCAAAAATGCCTTCCTAAGTCTCACCTCATTCTTACCTCTCCTAGAACCTTTGAAAGCTATCTTGTTATTACTAATCTTTGGCCTTGCTTGATTAACCTCTTAGTAAAGCTTGTGTCTTTTAGATCACAACAGTTCCAGGTAAAGACAATGCTGGCACAAGGCTTCCAATCTATCCAGCCTACTGACCAGGAGAATTTAAATATTCTACCTCTGGGCTCCTTAGATCTGGTATCCAGAGATTTTTTTACTCCTCTATTGCTTGACCAGGGCCTACCCCCATAAAATAAGCAGGAAGCAGTTAAAAAAAACAGATTTCCACCCTTCTTCACCCTGTTAAGATTAAGGAAGAGTGTCTAATCTCTGAGACAGGAATGAGGTAGGAGGTGGGGCTCGACTCTGGAACCAGATTGGAGACTGGCTGAAACAGATAAAGGCTGAAAGCACCTCTCCATAAGATGTGCTCACCAGTATCATGACAGTTTACTCCTTCACTGGCAACAACCTGGAAGCTACTGCCCTTTTTCTAGAAATTTCTGAATAACCTACTCTTTAATTTGCATATAATTAAAAGTGGGTATAAATGTGACTATGGAACTACCCCTGAGCTGTTGCTCTGGACACACTGCTGATGGGTGGCCCTGCTCTGCAGGAGCAGTCACAGAGCTATAACACTGTGCCCTCAATAAAGTTGTTTTTTCTACCACCAGCTAGCCCTTGAATTTCTTCCTGGGGGAAGCCAAGAACCTCCATGGGCAGAACCCCAGTTTTGAGGCTCCCCTGCCCTGCTACATGATGATAAACCTAAATTCCAAAGTCAGGATGACATCAAAAACAGGGGCTCCTCCATGCTGCAGGAAATACACATGCACATGTCAGCTGCTAGGGAGTCCTACCTTGGCCCCCAGGGTGCACATACACTCCTCCCCACATGCACAGGCGCCCTACCTGGCCATGCAGCATGGACTCCAGCACCAGCGCCCACAGGTCCACAAAGGTGGTGGGGTGACCCTGCTCAGCCTTCAGCTCCAGCTCCCTGCGGTAGCTCACCAGGCGCTCTGGGGAAAAGACCTCCAGCTTGCTCTTGGTCAGGTGCTCCCGGGCATGTCTGATAGGTCCCTCCAGGTCCCTCTGTGACCACTCAGGGTCCCCGTACAGGTGGGCCATTGTCCTGGGAGAATGAGGAGACAGAGCAGTAGGAGGCCGAGGATGGGCATGGGGAGCTGCAACTCCTCCTTTCCACCTTGCAGCTTCTCCTAACACATGGCTCCTGCTGCCAAAGCTCTGCCCATCTGGGAAATAGGTCTCAGGGCCTTCTCTCCTTCCAGATCAGCGCCATCCAATATTAATACAATGTGAGCCACAAACGGAATTTTAAATTTCCTTGTAACCACATTAAAAAGATATAAAAGCCTGTAAAAATTAATTTTAATATTTTATTTAATACACTATATTCAAAAATGTTTATTTCCACATGTGGGACCCCAGTCCCATGTGGTGTGCACTATGATTGCCCCCATCTGGAGCTGTGTCAACTGAGAATCAGAGAAGATAAGCTGCTTAGGGTCAGCCAGCCAGTAAGTGGTGCTGCCGGGACTTAAACCCAGCTCCGTCTGAGTCGGCGACCTCACAGCCCTTCAGTAACCTCAAGAGCGCATCTCCTCTGCTGCCTTGCTCATGGCAGGGCTTCTGTAAATGCTTGCTTCTTCCATTCTGGGAAAGCTGCTTGGCTCCTATCAGATCACACTGCTCACACCTACTTGGCCTCCCCACACAGAGGGTCCCTCTGGTGTCCACTCTGTCCCGCTAGGGCCCCTGATTGTCTCTGCCGTCCAGTCCCCCAGGATCCTCACCACGTAGAGCCAGAGACGCCGCTGAAGTAGGTCACACAGTCCAGGAGGCCCAGCTTCTGCAGGGCCAACAGGTGGCCATAGAGTGAGGTCATGGCCCGGGCACCTCCTCCTGTGGCCATGATGCCCACAACGGGTACCTGGACCACACATGGACACAGGCTGAATGAACAAGGAAAGGGACCAGCTGCCTCCTATCTCACACAGGGCCCCATCCTGCTACCTGTCTCCAGGGAAGGGACCGCAGGATCAGGGCCTGACAGAGTCAGGGTTAAGGCTGGTTCCAGCCCTCCTCTGGAAGCAATGGCTCTCAGCCCAGGATGGAACTCCCAAGAGTTAGAACCCCAAAGCCTAGCCACACTCCCACGTCTCCTGACACATGCCCAGTCTCCACTGACAAGTTTCTGGAGAGGCATAGGAATCAGGTACTCCCTTATGGCTGGTCCAGGATATCTGTACCCACGTCCCCTGCGCCCCAGACCTCATCCTCCTGCAGGTCTCCGTCCAGCTGCAGGGCCTGCTTCAGGGCTTTGGCCACCACCTGTTTCCTCCTGCTCAGGAAGGCCTGCTCCTCTGCACACAGATTGAAGCTCAGGTGCATGGCTAGCTCCTTGGGGCTGCAGCAATGGAGGATCCATGGGTCAGGGGACACCAGCACAGCTCAGCCACTGGCTGGCCAAGCCCAAAGTGAGCTGCCAAAGAAGCCCCCTCCTCCAGTCTCAAGGACCACCCTTGTCCACAACCCTCCCCTCTGGCACGCCTGCCTCTCATTGTCCCCACAGATATGAATGTCCCTTACCAGCTCTCTGCCTTGAGCTGCAGCCTCACTCCTGGGGCCTGAAATCAAAGCCAGAGACTCTGCTCAGATCCTCCTATACCCTAAATGCCACATGGGAATTCCCTGAGGCCTTGGTCCCCTTCATCTTCATTCATTCTTTTTTTTTTCACTCTGTCACCCACGCTGGAGTACAATGGCACAATCTCAGCTCACTGCAACCTCCGCCTCCCAGGTTCAAGCGATTCTCCTGCCTCAGCCTCCCAAGTAGCTGGGATTACAGGCGCCTGGCTAATTTTTGCGTTTTTAGTACAGACAGGTTTCGTCATGTTGGCGAAACTCCTGACTTCAGGCGATCTTCCTGCGTTGGCCTCCCAAAGTGCTGGGATTACAGGCTTGAGCTACCGCACCCGGCCTCATCTTCATTCTTACTGGATGGGCATTTCCAGCTGAAGCCACTTACATGTGGAGCAGGAACATCCGTGGTCACCTCCTTCCCAATGGTCAAGGGCCTCAGGGGCACAGTGAGGTGTTCAGTTGAGTTGTCTCCATTCCAGCCATTGCTTGTGGAGCTCTGGAAGGAAAATATCATTCACTCACTCATTCATTCATTCATTCAACAAATCCTTACTGAGTATCTAGACTGTAATCCCGACAGACATGTCTCTCCCTGATTGCTTCTCGGCCTTTTGGCTAAGATCAAGTGTAGACATGTCTCTCCCTGATAATACAGATTATAATATTGATAAGTATTGTAATTACATTGATAAGTATCATAATTATAATAACTATAAAATTATAAGAGCTAATATTTATCTAGTACGAAGGCATTGTTCTCACCAAATAGCACGTATAAATTCAGAAAGACATGGGTAATGACTGACGCTAGTGTCATGAAGGAAATGAGTGAGTGATATGACAGTTTCTAATGCAACCAAAGGTGGAGTGCATGGGGTTGATTTGAGGTTGGGATCAAGGAGGGCCCTCATTTGAGCTGAGATATTGAGATGGAGGAAGAGAAGGAGGAGGAAGAGGAGGAGGAAAAGGAGGAGGAGGAGGAGGAGAGGAGGAGGAGGAGGAGGAGAGGAGGAGGAGAAGGAGAGGAGGAGAGGAGGAAGAGGAGGAGAGGAGGAGAAGGAGAGAAGGAGAGGAGGAAGAGGAGGAGAGGAGGAGGGGGAGGAGGAGGAGGGGACAAAAAGGAGAGGAGAAGGAGAAGGGGAGAAGGAGGAAGAGATGAGGAGGAGGAGGAGAGGGGGAGGAGGAGAGGGGGAGGAGGGGAGGAGGAGGGGAGGGAAGGAGGGAGGGAAGGAGGCGGAGGAGGAGGAGGAGGAGGAGGAGGAGGAGGAGGAGGAGGAGGAAAAGGCAGCCTTGGAAGGAGTCCGTCGGGGACAGGAGAGCATTTGGCATGTTGGAAGTGAGAGAGGAGACAAGGATGGCTGGCACATCGTGCATGGAGGGGGGGTGGAACAAAATGTGGTGGCAGAAGTGGGTGGGTGCCAGGCTGTGCAGGGCCTTGTGGGCACAGACATCATATCTTATTCTAAGGGTACCACTGGAGGGGCTGCTGGAGGACTCCAAGACTGACATGGTGCAGCAGTCCCATGCTCACCTAACACCTGGTGGCCTTCCATGTCTGCCAACAGTGAGGTGCTTAACTAGGGGAGGCTGACAAGGCCACGGGGGCCTTGGCTCTGGTGGGCAGGGAAGGCAGGGAGAGGCCCACTGCAGCTGGAGCTGCCCAGCCTGGGATTTTGGGAGAGGTCTAGAGCCAAGACCCACCCTCAGGTGCCCGCTCAGCTCTGTCTCTAGGGCTGCCATGTAGTGGAAGCGGAAGGCAGAGGCTGTGCCCAGGGAGGATGTCTGGGTGTCCTCATAGGACCCCTTCAGCACCAGCTCCAGCTCCAGTTTGTCCTGATCTAGGGAGAGAGAGGGCAGGTTAGGATGACAAGAGTCTAGATCCCCAGCTCCGACTTGGGAAAGTGACACCACCACTGGGACTCAGAGCATGCTCAGAAGGTTGGGCCATCGTCTATGGCATTCTGAAAAGGGCCTTTCCCACTCCATGGGGCCCCACAACCCCCCACCCTGGACTTCTGCCTTGTGCAACATGCCTCCCCCAGGTCAGGGGACCCTCCTACCTAGAGGAGACACATGGCCCTCTGTGCCATGTGGGTGGGAAGGGAGAGGCAAGGTCTATGCTGCTGCTGCCTCCCGCCCTGTGCAGCCTTCCCAGCAATCCTCCTCACCCCCACGTCCAGACAGTCCAGGCCTGGTTCTGAGCCGGTCTCACCTGCAACCACAGCGGTGCTCCCTGTGCTGTCCAGGTGCACATCCAGGCAGCACAGCTCTCGGGCCTAAGGGAGACCACGTCATGGGCAGGGGCCTCTGCAGGGTAAGCTGAGGTCGCCTCATCCTCAACTTTCTGAGCCCCAGTGTCCCAAATCCGCCACACACACAACAAGGAGTGGTGTGGGCTCAGGATGGGACTGCCTGCAGGGGCCGTTTGCCCCATCACCGATCCTTTGCCACTGCTGAACCTCAAGTTCTTGAGCCAGGAGGGCCGGGGCTTCACACCTCCCTGCAAGCTCTCCTGGCTTTGCCAAACTTCCGAAACCTCCCAGAGTGCCCAGCCCTCAGACACAGCTCCTTCTTCTCCTGTTTCTCTGTGGCTGGAGTTGGAAGAGGTATTCTACCACAACTCCAAATAATCTAAGCAAGCCGCCCATCCACAGGAGGCTGGAATGCGTGTCAGAGAAACACTCAGAACAACTCCTGTTTGTCCTCTGTGGCCTAACTAAGGGATACTGTCAAGGCCAGGCCCTCATGGCCTTGCCAAGATGCCCGCCACCCACGCGCCACACAATCACAAAATATGCCCACCCCCTGCAGGTCTCCATCACCTCCTAAGAGGCAGTGCCATTGGCGTGACTTTCTTTTTTAACCAGTGTCATGTGATACTATATTTTCATGCGTATTTTAAAAAGTAATACTAGCCCATCAGACAGCCCTGGGAGTGAGCGCCTCCTTAACTGCCGGCTCTAGGTGCATTCGCACGTGACCCTGGGCCCACCTGCTCCCAGGTCTGTGCTGCTGATCCAGGAGTCACACTGTGATAAAAGCATGTATCAAGCGCATCGCCTGCTCGCCACCTTGTGGCCATTTATGTCCACTGCAGCTTCGTGAGCCCATGGTCGGGAGCGCTGACGGGGACTCTACCCCGTCCCGAGGAGGAGCTGACTGAGCCGCTGAACCTATGGTCTTCCAGGTTGGAAGTAACCGCTCTGGGAGCGCCCTCTGAGCCTCAGTGACCTCAACATTAACAACCAGAAGCTGGGCCTGGCCTGCCTGATTTCTTCACCGTTTCCCAGGGAAGCACTCAGTCAATCCCTAGAACTGTGAGTTCACCGCAGGTGACTAAACACCTTGGGGAGGCACCCCAAACATCAGCAGGCTGGAATCTCCTCTCCGCAGAGCCCTGCCTCCCCTCTCTCCATGCATCCTTAGCTCCAGGCCCCTCCAAGATCCACAGCCCCAGGTGACCACCTGGCTGAGAGGCCAGGGGTGGTTTTACCACTCACGAAGCCCTGCCCCTGCCTTGTCCCCTGCCGGTCCATACCCCAGGCAGCTGTCCTCCCCGCCACGCGTCTGCTCTGGGGCCCCTTCCCTCAGCCTGGGAAGGCACTTACCACAAGGACTTTGTTGGTGATGAGGTTTTCTGGGCGATTCGACCTAGAAAAATCAAACCTCGCAAAGGCAAACGCTTCTTGTATTGACCTCCCCTCCCGCCCCTGTGGGGCTTCCTTGGTTGATGTGGGGCTTCCTTGGTTGATGCCCAGGGCTCTATAAGTTCCGGATAAGGTTCAGGGGGAAGGGGAGATGCTTCTGCAGGAGGAGAGGGGAGGGGAGAGAGCAGGGAGAGAAAACATCGGCTTTCCTCTCCGCATTTTTTGATTTATAACACTGATACATTTTTCATTATAATATTGATAGGTATCATAATTATAATACCTATAAGTTATAAGCGCTAATATGTAGTGTGAAAAGACTGTTCTCTGAAAGCATGTATAAAGTTATAAAGACATGGGTAATGAACTGATATTAGTAAGCGTTGTGAAGGAAGTAAGTGGTGTGATAGAGAAGACCCGCCCAAGACCGGACCTCGCTGGCAGGGTTAGGAGATGAGGAACAGTCAGGCTGGAGTGACCGCAGGGACATCTAGGTCAGGGCCATTTCCTCAGACAGAGCCTCAGCCCTGAGACACTCCCTGGGCTGAGACGTTACTCACGTTTCTTCCATCAGGAACTCCACGTCCAGCTCCTCCTCTCCCTGCAATCAGACAGGATGAGCCAGTCACGAGCACGTACCTGTGTCTTCAGCGCTGACACTGTTCTTTTACAGGCATCATCTCGTCCCCTCAAGCAGTCTCTGAGGTAGGCACGTTAGTGCAATTATTTCCAATTTACGGATGAGGAAGCTGAGGTATGGGGCCAGGTGGCCCTACCCACATTACCAATGGCTAGTAAGTCTGCAGAGAATGGGTCTCCCACCCTTGGAGGTCCCAAAACTCTGGGCAAGACTGAGAGGAAGACAAAGAGCACAGACAAAGGAGGGCCTACAGGACCCATTTGCTCTTCCTGAGAAGGGACCAGACCGCAGAACTGCCATCCCCACCTCCAGGCTGCAGCAGGAAGGGAGTTGAGGCCTTCACAAACCAGGCCTTGTGCTGCCCGCAGGAGTGATGGAGGCTGAGCTGTTCTGATGGATGTCAGGAAGTTCTCCACTTCCCAAATCCTTCCTGCCACAGGTGGCTCAAATCCCTCCATTGCATGATTCAGTCTATAACTGTCAAGTTAAGACTTCTCCTTGCTTATTAAAATGTAAATATCTCTGGAAGGGATTTAGAGTTTTCTGTGAATGAGTTCACCCCAGCAGCCTCCCCACAGGTGGGAGAAACAGCAACTTCCTCAGCCTGGAGTCAGAAGAGGTGGGGCTCCTAGGGACTTCCCCACCCACCTGGGAACTCTGGGAGAAGGTTTTCCGGAGCAGCTTGCCAGGGAGGACTTCTGAGATGTCATAGCAAACCTTGAAGCAGATGTCATCCTCCGTGACTGAGTCTTCATCATAGATGATAAGCTCCAGAACATTCTAGAAAACAGGAACAGCGACTTAGCCTTTTACCTGCTCAAGTAAGGGCTTGAACCCCACTTGATGTCTAGAGCCAGAAATGATCATTATGCCCCACAATTTTGTGTTTCAAAATAAAAAGAACTGTAAAACTTAAATAGAAGGAAATCTTCTAAAATTCCTAATTTCCCCTTTCTAATGTTTTATCAAACATAAATTTCTGTGAAAGAATTCTCTCTTTCTCTCTGTCTCTGTCCATGGCTTCTCTGGCTCTCTAAGCTGCGCCCTAAGGTATGTGCTGGTGATCTTCCACAGTCTCCTACACGGTCTCATCTCCCCACTGCAGCGACCTACTCAGGAGGGGGTTCTTACTGTCTCTGTTTCATAGCTGGGCTTAGAGAGGAACCAGCTGCGGGGGTCGGTCCCACAGCCAGCTGGTGGAAGGACCATGTTCATTCTTTCATGCATTCCCTTGCACACAGCACAGACAGGCTGGGCACAGAGACCCCTTCTCCTGAGAGCTTCTCCACTCCAGGAATCCTCGCATGGAGGTCCAGCCTGTTCACAGGGGAGTGGCCAGGAGTCCCCCAGCCTTCACCTTGACCTGATTTTGGATAAGGAAGCTGAAGGCCTCATTCCACACAGGATGGCTGGAGTCTGTGAGCGTCTTGGTCTTAAACTTCATTCCAGGCGCGGTGGACAGCTGTAGGGTCACGTAAGGGTCAGCCTCGCTCACTGCCAAGGTTAAGGAAGCCTTTGTGAGGGGGCAGTCCTCACACCCTCTCCACAGGCCATGCCAGTTTCCTACCAAAACCCTGGTGGTCACCCCAGGCGGCCAAGCCCAGCCCAGCCCCACCCCAGGGTGCTCATCTGAGCCCTTCCCAGGGTATCTGGTCCTCCCTGCTCCCACCAGAATGCACAGGGCGGTTACTCACGCAGGTCGGCCCGGCGTAGGTTCCGCGCCTCCAGGACCCTCACGGTGAGCTGCCAGCAGGCAGAGGCCTCCCCCTGGGGAGATAATCAAACTCCAGAGTCCTTCCCGCATTCCCCCCACCAAGCCTGGAGTCGCTGTGCTGCCCACACCCCTCACCACCCTCCTGGTACTTGGTGGTGCTGATGCTGCTGCCAGGCATTCCGGGGACACCCACTGGGGACCAATCAGCCTTTATTCACCTCTGTCTTTGGGGTCACGGTTCTGGGCTGCAGCAGCCGGGGAATAGTAGACCACCCATGGGTGGAATTTGTGGGACCCCTTCCCCTTCGGGAACAGGCTAACACATGGTAGTGGACAGAGCAAGGAACTGAGGGCCAAGGAGTGGCCGCCACATGGGTCAGTTAGATGTCAGCCGTTCCCAGAGCTCCCAGGGAGGGCAGCCCGCAGCCTCTTGGCAAAGCAAGGGCTACCTTTGGTGACCCTGCTGCCAGCACCCCACCCAAGCCCTTCTGGACAGAAAGCAGGTGCATGACTTAAGGGAGGCTGAGCCTCGGCAGCCCAATCCACAGGCACTACCCTGGATCTCAGCCATCTGCACTGTATGGGGTATGAATGAGGAAACTCCGAGAGCATGGGGCCATCACTGGGAGCAGTGGGTGCTGTGGGTGAAAGGCCACTGTATTAAGATGCTGATCAGGCCATGTCAGCCACAGACAGCCCAGGTGAGAGGGAGAAGCTGCTGAGTGGGCAGAAGCTAGAGGAGATGAGCTGAGAGTAGGTGGCAGGAGGGAAAGCAGGCGGTCGGTGGGGCGTGGCTGAGTCCTGCTGGGACAGGGCACTGGAGGTGTCCCCACACCCCACTGCTGAGGTCCCTGGCACTGCCAGGATCAGGAGGGCCCTGGGGTTTCTGTTCTTCCTGGGCGTTGCTGCTCGGCTTTTTTTTGGGCACCTGGCACTAGTTTCTTATAAGCCTCTTTGAAGTGAGTTTACTCAAATGGGTCTGGCAGGGCAAATAGCATTTTGTCCTGTGGGCTGACCCCAAGGAAGGTTGTTGGCCTTGTATCCTCTTGTAAGGGAGCCTGCCCAGGAGGACCACCTATGGGATGCGTGAACCCAGCAGAAAGAGCCCATATCCAAAGGGCTGTTAGAACAGGGCTATCAGGAAGGAGCACTGCCTGTGCAGGGGAGTGGGGCAGTGGGAGCCCCCAGCCAGGAGGGGACCCAGCAGGGCCACAGGGTGGCAGGACCCCCATGGGGCACCAGGCACATGAAGTCCTATGAAATGCTAACCCTGGCAGCACGCAGTGTGGCAGCCCTGGTGAAGAACCCACAGACCATCTCCATTCCAGAAAAAATCCATGCTGGGGCTTCTGCCATTCAGCGGCTCTGCCACCAGGTTAGACTCCCCACTAAGTATGATCTTCTTGGACTCGTATGTCCCCTTCACCCCCCATCCCCTGAGGGAGCCAGGAGGCAGTGCAGTGTTTGCACAGGGAACATTCAGCCTCACATAGCTGGGAGATGATTGTGGCAAAACCAGAGCTGTTTCCTACTTTGCACCGTCCCATGATCAGATCCACACCCATGCATGTGGCTGGAAGGTCTTGGTGCCCATGAGGACTGATCTCCACTCTCCACAGAGGCTGCTTGCTAGGGGTTGGCTCACCACCCACCTGACTCTCCACTCCCCACCAAAAACTGTGAAGGACCATGGCCATAGCAAAGCCACATGCCTGGTGGCTCTGCCCCTGCATGTTTCCTCTCTGTGGTTCCATGCCAACATCCCTGTCATTCCAGGCCACTTCCAAGCAGAGCACACGTGACCTCCCCAAGCAAGGTAGACTTGTTTGTCTCTTCTTGGGGATTAGCTCCAGTGGCATCAGCAACATGTCAGCTCTATAAACCTTAAGCCTTATAGGGGTTGTCAGCAGCACAGATTTTATGAACTCTGAGACATCTGGCTCCATTTCCTCCCCTCGCTCCGATTCCACCACTGCTGGCCACAGGGAGGTGACAGCTGGGATGCTGGGGCCCTGTGGGGTGTTGAGTTTCAATGTCCCACTCCAAGATAAGATAGGGGAAGGGCAGAGGCAGCCTGGCCTCACTCCCCTGCTCCCTGGGCCAGGCCAACACTCCACAAGTCCCAAGCGTGTGGGCTGCTTCCCTGGCAGGTTATTTTTACTAGAGTGAAATCCCAATTCTCTTAACCTCTAAGATCAGCGCTAACATGGAGCACCTAGAACATGGTATTATTGTGACAATGATTACTATGACTGGTCTTTACTGGGCTTAAAGGCAGACTCTGGAGCCAGATTGTCTGGATTTAAACCCTGGCTCTGCCACTTACTTGCTGTGTGACCCTGGACAAGTCACTAAACTTCTCTGTGCCTCTGTTTGTTTCCTCATGTGTAGTGGAAATAATAATAGTTTTGACCTCACATGGTACTCTAAGGCTTAAAATGTTAACACTTGCACACTGCTTAGGAATAAAGTCAGCAGTTTCTAAGGCTTAAAATGTTAACACTTGCACACTGCTTAGGAATACAGTCAGCAGTTTCTAGGCAACTGCTATGACTGTCACTATTTATTAAGTATCTGTCATGGTTCCAGGCACTGTGAATGCTGTCGACACCAAGATGAAATCACTTTTGTCAGACCCCAATGAATCAGAGCTGGGAACTCATGAAAGAGCAGAGGTCGTGTTTACACACCTGAGATAAGAGCTGTTTCCAAGGACTTCCTACAAACCCCACAGAAAACGCCTTCACTTACTTCATGCATCTGCTACTTGGAGGTTTATCACTAGACATCCTTCAGGATGGCAGTAACCCAGATAAGATACTCTAAAAAACACACGTGCCCAGTAATAGCATCACCACCAATGATCTGACAGCTCAGGCTCTGAGCCTCTGGAACCGAGGAACTCTGTTTCCAAGCAGTTTCTGTGAGCCTCTCCCCATTTTTCCAGTAAAAGCTTCCCTTTCCGCTTCCCTCACCGTGGCTTTGGCGGCCTGTCATTCCACGCATTCTGGGCTACGTCATTTCTTATTCCAGAGGAAATACAACATAGAGATAATTTTCTCTAGTGTCTTTCTGTAGGGTGACAATACTGTACTAAGCATATTACCTATTGTCACTTGATTTATCCTTCCACCACTTCAAAGGACAGTACTTCCATTTCCTCCCATTTTATAGATGAGGAAATTGAGGCTCAAGAGGCTAACGTGTTCCAGGTCACAGAGTTAGAAATGACAGAGTTGGAATTCAAACTTCAAGGCCAGAGCTCACAACCCCTCTCTATTCTACCTTCCCAGGACTTTGCTTCTTTGGAAAAGCATGCAACTCTCCCCTCATTGCCCCACGGATAGCTAGACACTAGATTTTCACAAATTTGTCTAATTTGACTGATACTCATAGATTTGTCATAGATTTGACTAATATGATTACTGAGCTAACTGACATATTAACTGATATGAATCTTTTCTCCTGAGGGCATAGGGGTTTCACCTTCCCTTCTGAAATATCCTCCCACCTGAAATACCACCTTAACTGATGACTAACCCGGAGCCTGCCGGAGGGCATTCGGCAGCCCAGTCACCTGTAGGATCCCAGGAGTGGCTCCCTGTTGAGGATCTCAGCCATTCTCTGAGCCTTGTGCAGGGACCCCAGAGGCTCTGCCATTCTGCTCTGGGTGGAGAGGCGCAGGCAGGGCACGTTTGTAAGTTTTTTGAGAGGCTCAGTGCTGCCCCCTGCCCATCTTGGGAGATGTGGCCCAAGGGAGCTTAACGGGGCTGGGTCTCCCCAACTGGGGTCCAGTTGCCCTTGATCCTGGGTGTTCAGCAGGAAGAGGGGAATGAGCAGGCCCTGTCCCCTGCTGGCACTGGTGAATGTGGTGGGACAGTGCAGGAGGTCAGAGAGAGGAGTGGAACCCCTGGGCACAGCCCCAGGCCCTTCACCTCCCTCATTCAGGCTGGGCAGAGGCTTCTGAACTGGACCACACAGCAGGCACATTTCAGAACAGGTCCCGGACAGCCAGCCTGCCCTGCCAGCCCAGCTGCGACTCTGGGGCAGGTTCCAAGCCCCTGTTCCAGCAGGAACGTGGCTAGGAGAAGCCGCTGCTGATGTTTACCACCACAGGAGCTGACTTGAAGGCTGGAGCTTGAGGACCTGGTCCTGGGGACTCAGTCCTGTGAATGTTGGCTGGGAATGAGGTGCTTCCTAAGTGTGGGGCAGACTCAGGCTCCCAAATCACTGGCACTAGGCTTTTGTTTTACCCGGGAGCCAGACCTGGAGCAGGCTGAGGGGAAAGGGGGAAGGGGCACAGCCCTCGCCAGGGAGATGAGCCTAAAGCTGGTATATTTCAGAAACCTCCACAGTGGGCCATTCTGGGCTCAGGGCTCCTGATGGGATGGGTGGGGGGACCCAGGGTTGCCATCCCCTCCCCTGCCATGCAGCCATGGACTCCCCAACATCCAAATGTCCACTGATGTCTGATTTGTGGATGGCTTCTCCTGACCTCAGGCTGGGGCAGCAGGGTGGTCCTTCACCAAGGGGTCCCTCTCACCTTCCACCAGGGCTCCTCGGTGACTGCCCTGCCCCAGGCCAAGCCTCTTCCAGGAGCACCAGACTGGAGCTGCCTGCCTGGATCCAGCTCAGGCCTGGGTCTCAGAGACACAGCTCTAGAAGCCCAGTGGGGTCTGCACACGAGGCAAAGGACCTCAGGACAGTGACTTTGGCACACTTAGCCTCATTCCTGGCCACTGCCTGGGGCACCAGGGAGACCTCAGGAGCCAGCCCTGCTGGCCTTGGTCCCTGGCAGAGGATGAAAATTCTGGGCTTTGGGAAACTCATGCCACAGGTGGGGGTGAGCAGCAGGCAGGCCTCTTTGGCCTGGGTGCAGTCCCACAGCTCTTGGGCTTAGTAAATAGTTTGGATGGGGATTTGGCACCCCAGAGCTCCGGAGACATACAGGCTGATCTCAGGGCTCCAGCAAGTGCTCGAAAGTTGCTGGCCTGTGGGGGTGGGGCGGTGGGCCTGGTGGGTCTCCTTCTGTGACACATGCAGCACTATGCTCTTCAATGTTGGGGGCAGGCGAGGTCCCTAAGGGCACTGCTGCAGTCACTGGGTGTGGGGAGGGGAAGCTCTCCTGACTAGACTCATGTTTCCCGGCTCCCGAATCTACAGATGCTGCTCACCCACCCCACCTGCTTTGCATCCCAAATCTCAGCCTCCCTCACCCTCTGGCCCAGTCTGGGCAGAGACTGAAATCACCCTGATTCCAGCTGTTAAACACTTGCCAGAGTGCACCCTGGCCCCAGGCCCACCCTGACTGGTGCCCACATGCTCTGCAGACACTGTTACCTGGTGAGGGTGGCCAGGTAGTCCCCCAGGTGACAGGCTCTCCATGCCAGCCCTTCCAGCTCCACTCCAGGCCCAGCCCTTGCCAAGATGCTGACTTTCCGGCTGGGTGGCAGCGACCGTCCCAGGGGGATGGAACCAGTGTGAATCTGCCAGCCTACGAGGAGCCATGATCCTATAAACAGGTTGGGGCTCCACCCCCAGGTACCTTTTTCAGCCCTGCACCTGCCCTCTTCCCCAAGAGGCTGGGTCATCCAGCATCTCCAGAAATGCCTGGCAGGGCTCCCGGACCTGCAGGTGGAGCATCTCTTCCAACCTAGAGCTTCAGGACAGAAGATGCAGCCAGGGGGAGGCTAGATGAGTCCCAGGAGTGGCAGCAGGAAGCTGGTTCCCCTGAGGCTGAGGGCAGACGATGGGGTGGGGGTAGAGCTGAGGAAACCCCCAGCTCTACTGGAGCCAGGCTAGCTTCTGTGGGAGGAGGGCTGAGCACCTGAGACTAGGGAAGGGGCCAGCCTTCCTGGGCAGCTCTGTGCAGCTGGGAGTCCAGGGGATGAAGAAACAAGAGCAGTCGTGGTGGCAGGCCCCGGGCTAGTGTGTCCTCCTCATCTGACCTGAGCAGACTCCGGGGAGCTGCAGAGGGGTCTGGACACCCCTCATCACAGGCCCCTCGCTTCCATGTGGCTGCCCCTAAGAATTTAGGGGATTTCAGTTAGACTTTGTAATAAAGGTAAAAGAGACCGATCAGGAGACTCTTGGGTTATGCAGGTTGTAGAAGAAAACCTTCTGAAGCCACTTCACTGTTTAAAGTATCCAGTGTGCACGTCAGCATTGAACACCCTCCTAACATGATGTGAATTCAGCCATTTTACCGTCAGTTCCATATACAGTTGAACAGTGACGGTTTGTTTCTGAAAGCAAATGAAACTGAGTTGATGTTAAATTACTACAAATCGATCTAAAATGTATTATTTTAGAATTGGCCAAAATAGAAATCTAATGGTCTATGAACAAGTAAACAGTTTTTGAATGGAAATATCTGTCATTTGCATGAACCAGATATGAAATCTAATAAAAAAGTGAACGTAGTGGTTGAGTGGTTCCTGCCTGTAATTCCAGCACTTTCGGAGGCTGAGGAGGGAGAATTGCTTGAGGCCAGAAAATGGAGATCAGCCTGGGCAACAGGGTGAGACCCCATCTCTACAAAAAATGTTTTCTTTTTTCTTTTTTTTGAGATGGATTCATACTCTGTTGCTCAGGCTAGAGTACAGTGGTGCAATCTTGGCTCACTGCAACCTCGGCTCACTGCAACCTCCACCTCCCTGGTTCAATCAATTCTCCTGCCTCAGCCTCCCAAGTAGCTGGTATTACAGGTATGTGCCACCACCTCCGGTTAATTTTTTTGTATTTTTTAGTAGAGATGAGGTTTCACCATGTTGGCCAGGCTGGTCTCGAATTCCTGACTTTGTGATCCGCCCACCTCAGCCTCCCAAAGGGCTGAGATTACAGGTGTGAACCACCGTACCCGGCCAAAAAATTTTTCTAAATTATCTGGGCATGGTGGTACATGCCTGTGGTCCCAGCTACTCAGGAGGCTGAGGTGGGAGAATTGTTTGAGCCCAGGAGTTCAAGGCTACAGTGAGCTATAATTGTACCTTTGCATTCGAGCCGGGGTGACAGAGTAAGATGCTGTCTCTTTAAAAATTAAGGGGGTTGGGGGGAAGGAAGTAAACGTAAGATGTAGAAAATTACAAAGAACCTCATTTCAAGTGGGTCACAGATGAAGCGATGTAGAAAGTCACCCAGCTGGTGACTAGCAAGGCTGAGATTGTACTCTCTGGCTTGAAGCCCACATCAGAACTTCCCTGGTCTTGGTGGCCTCCTTTGTTCAGGCCCATCCCAGAGGAATCCCAGGACCTTAGGAGTCCTGATTAACCTCCCTGCCCCCTGTTATCCCCATATGTCTCCCGGTATCCCCTGGAGGAACTTAGGGAGGCAGAGCCACAGCAACACACTCCATGAGGTGACTCCAGCCCCAGCACTCCACTCCAGTATGGGAGCGCCAGGCACCCCCTCACCCCGTTGGGACAGCTGGCTGTGCCCGGAGGAGGGCATGGTGCTCAGTTTCCCCATCTATGCAATGATGGTGGGGTAGATACTTAGCCTGGTGAAAACCGTGAAATTCCTGATTCTGAGATTCTTAATTTGGGGCTAGGGTCCATGGATGGGAATTAGAATACTTTTAATCATCTCTGAAATTGTATATACAATTATGTGACTATGTATGAATGTGTGAATGTTTCTAGAAAAGGGGTCTAGAGCAGCACTGTTCAGTAGCAACGTTCTGGGGGCTCTGAAGATGTTGTATTAAACTGTCTAGTGGCCGCAGGAAAAGGGGTAAAATGATACAGGTGAAACTAAGTTTAAAATATATTTAGCCCAATAATCTAAGGTCATATCAGTTCAACATGTAATCAACATATAAAATTCTTAAGGAGCTATTTTAATGTTTGTGTATTTTATGCTTGCAGCACATCTTAGTTCAGCCCAGCCACGTTCCGAGAGTCCAGCAGCTGCACGTGGCTCTGGCCTACCTTACCGGAGAGCTCAGGTCTATAGCTTCCATCAGATTTTCAAACAGAGTTTGAAACAGATGGAAAACCATTGCTCAATGGGTCACACGCGGTTACCCTCACTTGAAGACAGCTGCAGGGGTATGCATGGATGAGAGGACCTATTTAGGATGCTCCCATCACAGTTTCCATAAATGATGTGCCAAGACTTAGGGTTTTGACACTTGGTGGAGACCTAAGGCGGGAAGGGGGAAGAACCCGGAGCAGGGAAGCAGCACAGTGGGTGGCCTCGGGCTGAAGTCCTAAAGATCTCCCCACTCCAGCCCTCCAAGGGCTGTAAATAGGGAGCTGTGAATAGGGATCAGGCTAAGAATGACAAAGGTCAAGACAAGAAGACAGAAGACAGGCAGGGGTGACCTGGAGGCAGGCAGCATGGAACAGGGCTGGCAGGCGTAGCAGGGCTGGGCTGAGGCCGCATGCTGCTCACCAGGCCAGGGGGGTCCTCAAATGAGAGCCATGCCTGGATAGCCCAACAGAACAGACCTGACCTAAGCCGCCACGCTGGAGGAGGTCTTGGGCACTGCTTTCCACTCTCTCATCCCTCTCCCTTGCTAGGCGTCCTTTCCACCACTGTCACTTCTCAACATTTGCTCTACACTCACAGTAAATCAACATCGATTTTTTCATTCAGCACTCATAGCTCCTTTAATTTCCTCAGATTTCCTCTGAAAACCGGTCCTCCCCGACTCTCTTCCCCCTGGGTTTGGGTGCTGTTGACTCCACCTCCAGCTCCAAGAACACAGCATGTGGCCCAAGCTGGCCAATCAGCTCCTGGAATCTTTCTGACCAAGCTGTTGGGTTCATTGGACTCATGACTCCAGCTGGTGCAATCACAGTAAACGCTGGTGCATGGAGTTCTGAGAAAGATAGCTGCTGGGCAGAACTTGGGAAGATATGAACCTGGGGCTGCTAAATGTGTCCATCTTGCCACCACGAGAGGGAAATTTGTCAAGAAAATGGAGCCAATATTAATGAATGCCTATATAACTAACACTTCCTATGTGCCAGGCAGAGGTGGGTTTATTGTGCAGCTAATGATGCTTAAGCTGGGTCTTTTCCTTGCACACACCCTTCCCAGGCTTGAAGGGGAGCCCTAGCAGTAGGTTCTTATGATCATATAGTTGAGCAAAATTCACAGTTGCAAACGATTGTATCCACAATTGGTAAAGACGGCTGTCTTCCCATTCCTCCACCTCTGTTAGCATTGGTGTGGCTGTAGACATTTTTAGGATGTGGCTAAGAAGCGGTTGAGTTAGAGATGTTTAATTTCAGTTTAGTGAGATATATGTATGTGGTTTGCAGTCAGCTTCACGTATAGGGAAGTTATTGCTAGATGTGTGGTTCAGGAATAGTTTCCAAAAATACTCCTACCGCCCACTGTGCTGACTTATTTGATGTTGTGACACAAAGGTACAAGGCCAGAGGTTGCATTGTGATGTGGGTGTGTTCTCTGGTGCTGGAAGAATTGGGTAGAGGAAGAGAAACGAGGTGTGAAATATCCAGAGCCAGAAACCAATCTGAAAAATTCCTGCAATCCAACACGCAACATTGTAAGTGCAAGACTTAGTTTACCTTGACACCTGATCAAAGTAGAAATTCTCTCCTGAAAAGGGTGTTTCCGATCATTTCTTGAATGCATGTTTTCCTTAGAGGGTAATTTTAACAAATATCAATAGAATGTATAGCGATTCCTGTACTAGAGTAACTAGCACAACACCTACAACAGCTTATGCACCAAAGAAGCTTGATAGAGGCTGTGGCAGATGATGTTTTCTGATAATGGTTGCACAGATATCTCCCATCCACGCTCTTCCAGCATCTCACCACTCCCTCATCAAAAGGTAGAGGACAACTCCCTTGCTCTTAAATCTGGTGGGCTTGTGATTGTATGGTAACTTACAGGGTGTGAGAAAAGTGACTGCTTGACTACTCCCGAGGTTAGATCTTAAGGTGATGTAGCTCTCTTTTCTAATGGCTAGAACACTCCCCCTTAGAGCCCTGGGCCACCAAGTGAGACACCCAACTCCCCTGAGGCGGCCATGCCATGGGGAAGGCCAGTCATACGACAGGCCATCAGTCGGCACTGGAGTCAGCAGTCCTCATCTCCAGCCTGCCCAGCCCAGGCTCCAGACACGCAGACAAATGAGCCTTCCAATGATATTAGCCCCAGCGGTTGGGTCACCCCTAGTCAGGGGTGAATTTCTGATACAAAAAATATTTGTGAGCCTAATAGAGCGGTTGCTGTGTTATGCCATTCCATTTGGGGTGATTTGTTACATAGCCATAGTAAGCAAAGCAGAGGTTTTTCTAAATGTGTAATGATCCTGAGGTTTTAAGTAAAGAATTATGAAGCTGAAAGAAACCATCAACAATGAATTACTATTAACTATCAATAATTTTCTAAAAATTTCAATCAACCAGACTAGAGGAAAGATGGCTACCTATCTGCACCAAAGCGATATTACAAAATTGGTGTTATGTAGCAAGGAAGAAATGAAAGAAAGAATCTCACCAAATGGGTGTTGAACAAAAAGGCAATCAAGGAGTATTCAGCAAGCAGTAGAAGGAACAGCGTGGAGCTGCGCCTGGCCGCTGATTCACACAAATATCATGGTTTCTCTTGTTTTTTTGAGATGGAGTCTCACTTTGTGGCCCAGGTTGGAGTGCAGTGACATGACCTCGGCTCACTGCAATCTCCACCTCCCAGGTTCAAGAGATTCTCCTGCCTCAGTCTCCTCAGTAGGTAGGATTACAGGTGTGTGCCACCACTCCTGGTTAATTTTTGTATTTGTAGTAGAGACGGGGTTTCACCATGTTGGCCAGGCTGGTCTCAAACTCCTGACTCAAGTGATCCACCCACCTCGGACTTCCAAAGTGCTGGGGTTACAGGCGTGAGCCACTGCGCCCAGCCCATATCATGGTATTTTTTTTTACATTTTGTGATGTTTTAGAATTTATCAACCTTTTCAAATTTGAATTTTTGTGTGATTTCCTTTTATCATTTACAAGGAATGTTAACTTTTGTACCTAACTTTGTGTCAACTTGTATAACCTTCAGCCTCCATAGTACACACCCTTGTGTCACACCGTTCAAAGCACTTTGTGTAGAGAACATCGTTATTTTATCTACAGCTGGTGAGGCCAACTGCCTTCCTGTTTCTGCCTTTTTGCCAAAATTGGTGTGGCTGTGTATGTTTTTAGGATCTGGCTAAGGAGATCCCCCAAGCCCTGTCCAGTGGGAAGTTTTCTTATCTTCATTCTACAAATGAGAAAACGGAGGCAGGACTTGGTTGATGAACTGCCCCCAGGTCACCTGGGGAATGGAGCCCAGAGGCCACAGTACAGTCTCCCTCTAGAGGAAATGCAGGCAAAAGGGAGCACAGACAGTCCCTGGATCAAGCCTTGCCTGAAGGAGTAGATCCAGTCCTGGGCATTTCACTTGGGTCTCAGCACCTTCCTATCTACTTTAACCCCAGGAAAGAAGGGTGTGGTCACTCCCTTCCCTTTACCCTTGCTTAGAACTGCACTCCATGACAATGTCACAGAGAAGAGGAGGCAGCTGACTGAAAGGGGTGGAGGAGGTGTCAGGGCCAATGACCTGCTGAGTTTCTGTTCCAGGCAAAAGCCCTGGAGCAGGTCAGGGGTCAGATGGCGAGATGTGTAGCGTGAGGAAGGTGTGACACATGCTTCGGTGTTCAGCGCTGAGTGCCACAGGAAGGCACAGGCAGGCCTGTACTCTTGCCTCATGGGGAAGTGATTATTTACTGTTGTCATGAGAGAAAGGACCATTTCCTATCCAGGATGCTCAGAATCAAGCAGAAAAGGGACACCTTACTCCTGCCCTAATTCTAGGGCAACTGGAAAGGAGAAGCCTCACTCTAAGCAAGGGGCAGGGCACCACCCAGCCAAGCCATTCATTCATCCCACAAATCGTGAGTGAGAGTCTACCATGTCCCAGACAGAGAGACGTGAGAGTCAAAACAGGCCCGATCCCCACCTCCAGTGTGCCTCAGCCAATGGGGTACGTCTGTGTTCCAGAACCTGGGACATTCCGCCTCAGGCCCTGGAGTGCTGGGGCAGATATAGCACCCAGAACAGAGCCTCTGGAATTTTAAGGTAAAGAGCCATGGAAGAGCTGGAAACTCACATTATCAGCTAATTAACTTTGTTTGGAGGCAGTGGTAGCATGAGCTTTGAAATAAGTTAAGAAATAGAACTATGTTTGAAGACTTCCTGAGGCACCTGCTCCACCCTCTCCCAGAACCTCTCTGCCTCTCCTCACCCAGCCTTCTCCATCCTCTAAGGGATCTCCCTGCTCCCCGCTTCACCCTGTTTGCCTTTTCCTCGAATTCCTGTTTTCATAAAGCTTCCAAGCAATGGAAATATGTATGCTCTATTTGAAATATGTATGCTTTTCAATATGCTGTATTTGAACTAGAATGTGAATATTCTAGTTCATATTTTTAAAATATGAGACTTTTATACATTTTCAAAACCTAAACCAAAATAAAACTGGTTTAAGTATGAATAGGGCCCTCTGAAGATTATTTCTGTAGGCTGGTTGATCTGAGTAGAAAACATGCCTTTCTCTAGACCCCAGTAGTGGCCTCCTGCTGACCACGGATTTGGCAAGAGGATCCCAGTTCAGACCTGTGTTTGCAGTTTCATCCCACCACTCTATCACCAGGAGTGTCTGAAATTTCACCCTCCTCGCCCTACAAGGCACTGACTCATCTGAAAGGCAATAGGTTTCCTGTAAACACCCAACTTACCGAGAGCTGCCAAGGGGGACAACTGCAGGGCGATGATCTGCCTGCCCTGGGTTCAGGAGGCTGTGGGGCACGCTCATGACACCTGCAAGGCCCAGGGCCTCGGCCAGCCTGCTCCCCTCCTGTCCCTGAGGAAGCAGGACCTGAGGCTCCCGCTAGTGCGGAGATTTCCCTTCTGTGCACCTGGGGTGGCCCAGAGGGATTTGAGATGGAGACCAGAACTGGGGGCCAAGCCCAGGCCTCCCCATCACACTCCCTCAGCA